TATATATATATCTATATATATATATATATATATATAAATTTCCATTATTTCCATTTAAAGAAGTTCTTTTACTGATTTTCTCTCCATCAAAACTATTCAGCGCCATCACTTGAAGGTGATGAGGTAGTCTGGGTAAGCCTGGTTATCGTGGAACACAACAAACATGTTGGGTCTTTCCATTCTATCCACCACACTATCATAACGTAAGTGGGGGTGCTGTTCGTCACGAGCTGGAGGCACCCTCATATCTTTTTCACCCAGAGTGTAGACCCCTGTCAGGACTCTGACCACAAACATTAGCTGAGAACCATCAGCAGCTGGCTTGGAGTACGTTGGATGGCTGGAGTATTTGGCATTGACAGCAAAGTAGGTTCCCTCTCCATACGACGTTGCTGTGAGTTTGAAGTAGATAAATATTTTAAAAATATAAAACTTTACTACAGAATAGAGTTCCTCTTTTTCTTAGCATTTCTTTGCTGTTTTCTGTGTCCATATCTGCTATTTAATTTCTCAAAACTTTCATATAAAAAGGTTTTTACCATTTTGCCCAGAGAAGCGCCTGTTGAAACCAGTTGTCATGATAGAATTACAGTTGTCCTCAGTCGTCCCATGATACAAAAACTTCTCATTTGCACCCCCCTCATGTTTGTTCTTCTGTGATATTTGTTTCTTTTGTACCTCGTAAGCACGGCGTAGATGAATGTTCTGCAAACGATCAATCTACCAGAATAAACAGAGAAAAGCTGTTAAATCACCCTTTAAAATAACTGGAACCTATTGAAGATGCATAAATCTCTTTAAAAATTGAGTCAGTCACAGTCATATGAATACTAATAATAAATAAACAGTCTGATTGCATGATAGGAATTCAAATAATTTACCCCTTGTCTTTCGGCACAATTTACAGTAACTACATAAACTATGTCAAGATCTTTTAACTGTACTGTTTTAATCTATTTGATTTTTAAATCACATTAACCTTTCTATTGTTTTCAGAATTACAGTTTAACACCTGCTTTTGTTATTAATAACAAGTCTACGAAGGAGTTTGGAGGGTCTCTTCTTCACTGAATAAGTTGATTTATGTACTTTTTGAAAAGCATTTTCTAATAATAAGAATTGGGGGGGTTAATAAACACCTTAAACATGTTATGAATCACAACATAATAAGTTGTTGCAGCAGAAAATGTGTATTTCATATTTCTGAATAAACAGTGCAGAAAGTGCTTTCATTTTTATCAGATCAAAATGTCTATGTAATAATGTGGCTTCCTTTAAAGCAAAGAACTAAGATGTTGAAGGTAGGTTAAGTTTATTTCATTCTAAACCAACCTGCCATCTAATATAGACTTCATCAAACAGACATATGGTGGTTATTATTACAAAGGTGCAGAAAAAATGAGCAGATAAACTATTAGCCCTTGATCCACATGCTTATCTGACCTTTAAATCAAGTGCAAAGCATTTAACATCACCTGTTATAGTTGCATTCTGCAGCTTAGATAAGATAATGGCTCATTTTCAGTCCTCACTAAATGAAAAAGACTGTCTATAAGAATCACATCATGACAAAATAGATGCTAAAAAATATTTTTTTACCAGGTTATTTTTCATTATCAGGTTTTTAAAGCCATTTAATATACAATCTATGACTTCCAAATTCTCTGGAATATAAATATGACCTACCAAGCAGCCCTATTTATATTAGGCACTGCCTTTGATGGGAAGTCAAAGTACACATGTCCTTAAATATTGATCAAAGTTAGAGCAGATGTGCTCCAATCTATAATATTTTGAATCGTAATATGAGATGTCATAAACTTTTAGTGATGCTTTTGGCGTTACTGATTTATAAATATTTTAACAAATAAACTAATAGAAATTAATCATACAAACAAGGTTCAATAAGTCAAGTTATCAACTTTTAAAAGTATCTATGAAGTTTTTCTTAATGGATAGCTATGAATAACAACAACAACAGAAAATGGTCATGAGGTCTTGGAAAATCTGAAGGTCCGCCCAAAATATAGAATTTTAGATGTTTGTAAACATTTACATTTTTAAAAATCCTTTCAACCTTAAAAATGTTAAATACAAAGGGAAAAATGTATCATTTCTAATATGTTAAAATGTACACTTTTAATCAGTGAAGAATATTTTTACACATATATAAAATATGTTACCCATGGGATTAAGGGGCCAGGATTAAACAAGGGTAAAAAAAAAAAAAGGGTAAAAAATTAATGAGTAAATGGCACATTTTCGGGACTGAAATAAAACTTTGTCACTATTGATAAGAAAACCAGAAGCAAAACTTACAAATGGCAGTTATCAAACTTATCATACACATGTGAAAATGTCAACCGGTTTGAGTTAAGCAGCAGACAGAAATTTTAATAATAGTTATTAATAATAATTAATGGAAACCACCAACCTTCATAACAGTTTTATTAGCAGTCCTTTTGAATCCTTCCTTCACTCTTCTGTACTCTTCTGAATTAGGCTGCAGAGGTACCACCTTCATGGATTCATCGCTTGCCATGTTGTCCCAGTACAAAGGAAAAGTAAAGTCTGAAAAGCATATTATAATGAGAAACTTCAAAAGATGATGTCATATAAATTAACGGGTCAAATCGGGTCTGATGCAAACAAAATATGCCGATCAGAGCCAATTTTAACAGGCTCCCTTGCTGTGTTTTTTGCCCGGGTGTTCCCTCTGCCACTAAAAGCCAATTCTTCCCAGGTTTAAACAGGTTTTTCGGCCAGTGAGAAAGGAGTATACAGACATTCAAAAAGCTCTCAAAATGTGCCTTTCTCACCTTGCAGATTCTGAAGACGCTTGAGATGAGTTGTCTTTCCTGGAGTTACGGCTTCTAAATGAAGCAGATCCACTTGCCATGTGACTCCTTGTGCATCAACAATTCCTTCAGCAAAATCCTTCTTTTCCAGGTTGTAATTGGCTGTCTTGGGGAGTCTCTCCCAGTTTCCATTTTGCCCCAGGATGCACCACATCACTCGACTATGCAAGTCGTCCTCATCTTTCTCCCTCACCTCTCTCCTGAGGTTTTCATGCAGTAATGAATTAAACAATACGATTGCTTTGTTGACCCCATCTTTCATACCGTTCATTGTCAGGTTTCCTGATGGTTCCTTGGTCATGTACAGACCCTCTGACTCCACGAGTTGCTGCACTTCTTCAATATCATCTTCTGTGAGACTCTGAAGCTGCTCTTTTGGAAAGATATGATTTGAACATTGAAGCTTATACTGATTTTTCAATTTTTCCATAGCATCATCAACATCTTTTCTGCTATGACCAAGGAACATGAAGACAGACTGCTGGCTCGCAGTACTGATATCAAGAATGCTTTGGTCTGGTCTCAGAGGTGAAGGTGCCCGTGGTCGTACCCGAGACAACTGTACTTGTGATTCTGGAAAATAAGAGAAAGATATACTGTATGTGTAAAGTTATTGTACAACTAGACTCTCTACAACGTCATAAGAAATTCTTTAAAAACACTCTAAAAGAAAGATATTTGTAAACAAATTCTGTCACCTCTTCTTCTGAAAATGGGGAACATCTGTGTTGCTTCTTCTTTAAAAGCCAAGAAGACATTGATCTTAATAAGGACAAGACGAATAGCTGTAAGGGTACAGCCAGGACCAGAGGATGTGGCAGTGATAATACCTCTTAGGATTGCACCAGCAACGACACCAGGGTTCAGTCCACCCGCTCCTGCAGAAACAGTTCGATTAATATTTAACCAAACATGGCATTTATTAGGGTTTGTTCTCTAACAACAATGTTGGCTGCAAAACATACTTACCGGCACAGATAGCAGGAATTGCTACAGATGCAAACCCAAGTTTTTCACAGTACTCAATAATGCTACACACAAGTTCTTCAACCAGACTTGCTTCTTTCCCTCCACATACATGTAAAAGTTTTTTACAGGGGAACTTTCCAGGTTGTGTCACAAAAATATCTCCTCGGTTTACTTTTGCTGTACAGATTAAGGACAGAAAATTATTATAATTCAAAATCGCTCAGAAGTTTTTATTTTCATATGTCGGCAATCCTCTCTCACCTTTTTTTAGCTTAGCTTCCACGTCTGCTCCAGCTACAGTTAGAATATCTTTGCAAACACCCTCTGTAAAAAACAATACTATACACATTAACGTTTTGTTTTTGCAGACATCAAATCATATGAACATTGAGCCAAGGTTTAGAAGAGAGTGAAAATTAATACATTTTTAACCTATTGATTACAGTTCTTAATTTGATATTATTTAATAACCAACATGTTTTAGTGTTCTAGTTCTCAACAAAAAGTCTGTTTAATTAACTATTGTTATGGAACAGAGTTTGGTTCTATATTTCATTCCTCCTGACCGCCAGAGGGAGAACCTTCGTTTGCCGAAGTTTGGATACGGCTAACATTGTTAGCTTTTTGGTTTATTGGTGTTATACCTGGTGACAGCAGCGTCTTCACCCCTACTCCTAATGTGATCAACTTCATTTGACGAAGTTTGGATATGGCTAACGTTGTTAGCTTTTTGGTTTATTGTTTTCCCACCTGGTAAGGGCAGCGATTTTGCATCCACTCCCAATATAAGCCTCTCTTTTTTTGCAGCCCCTTTTGTTGATCCGCACCATTATATTTGGTGACGTTACATTTTCATCCCCCTCTCCTTGTGCGCAGCCTCTTTTGTTGTTCTGCTATAATTGGTGATGGCTGCGTTTGCACCCCATCCTGATTTCAGTTCATTTCGTTACTTAATTGGACTGAGCCCTGTCAACCTTTGACATGGATGGCCCCCACTGCTGCATGGATTGTGGGGATGCCCTGAAGGTAAAAGATGGCCTTGACCTGTGCCCTACCTGCCTTGGACATGAGCACCATGTGGAGGCAATGTCTGAGAACCCCTGCAGGAACTGCAGTCTTATGCCCCACGCAGTGAGGATGGCTCGATTGGCCCAGTTTTGCCCCCAGGAGGACTCTGATCTTTCGCTCTCTGGGCAGGTGGCTCCCCTCAGGTGTTCTAAGCGCCTTGGTGGGACCAATGCTTTAGTGGCACCCTCTCGGGTGAAATGGGCCAAACTGGACCAGGGACTGGCAACAAGGATGGAGCAAATGTCAATGGAGTTGGCAGAGACATCAGTCTGATGCCTCACTTCCAGTGGCTGGGCTCTCTTCCCCACCCATGCCTGAACTAAGGGAGGAGGATGTCATATCTCTGGCTGCTTCTGGTTCTCATTTTAGAGATGAGGAGGAGGCAAGGTCCTCTCAAGCCTCTGGGACTGGTTCGTTTTCATCTCAGAGTGCCATTGGATAGCCCGGTGATGGTTCCACGCAGGATGTCATGTCAAGGACCGTGAAGCAGCTGCAGTTCGACCCCCTACAAGGCAAGGTATCTGACTCCAGGAGTGCATTTTTTAGGTGCGGATGGGCTTCTACTTCCTTTCTATACCTTTATCACAGGAGTACCTGAAGGAGTTGAATGCCTGTTGGCAGGACCCAAGAGCGTTGCCACATCTCTCCTCAGACTGTCGGGTGTTAGCTGCTATGCACGATTCGGTGAAGGCCAGCCTGGACCGTATGCCAGCAGTTGAACCGGCTGTCGCTTCACTGATTGTGTCACCGGATGAAGCCCTGCGATCTGAGGTCTGATGCTCGCTGACCCAATGTTGCGTTACCCTCTGGCGGTCAGGACAATTAAATAGAACAAAAGTTACGTACGTAACTACAGTTCTATGAATCCTGGATGACCACCAGAGTTTCTCTGTCATTCAGAATCCTTACTTTTGCGAGGAAATTCTGTAGGAACAGAGCCATGGATGACACCAGGCTATGTAGCTTCTGAGTGTTCATCCGGCATCACAGGTGTGACTTTGTTAGTATAATTACTCTAACTGTGCGTGTCATAAGGGAACATTTAGTGCTTTCAGCACCTCCCTCTGGTGGTCATAAGAGGTTCATAGAACCGTAGTTACATATCTAACTTTCGTTTGACTGACACCAACCAAAAGCTATGCCTCCTTAAAATCAATTAAAATCCAGGAAGCCTATATTTTGTGTTTTTCTTTTAAAACTGTCGTTGCTGATATGATTTTGTGTGCATGTATCTGTTTTCTTCCTATGTTATGCTATGTAATGTCTTTTTGCAACAAGAAAAATATTTTATAATTGCAGAGTACTTCTTTACTTGGACTTTGACCTTCACAGGCTAAATCTCTACATTTGTCACCTACCATTGTGAAAATTTTTGAAGTCGGTGGTGTTCACTACAGCATCAGTGGTCTCATTGGTGACATCACCAAACACCAACTGAAGTTTAGCGCCGCCTCTTACAGTTATATTGATATCATCAAGGTCACTAGTTAGGGACTTGAAGAGTGCTAAAAGAAGAAAGCCGTCACATGCAGTTGGAATACTGAAAATAAAACATTATTGACCAAAAAGTTTATGAGCTATCAATAAAATCTGGCCTACCTCGGCCCCCCTGGTTCATAATCAGGCTGAGATGTTTGTACACTTCATGGTAGTTCTGTAAATAACAGAATCAAGAATCAATACTAAGCAACATTGGTTTGATTGCAATGGCCTGCCTTTAAGAGGTACCTTCTCTGAGTCAGGGTAGCCAGGTTTAATAATGATGTGGATGCTGTTGACATTTTTGCAATGACCAGACAATGCAAACTGCCGAATGCTTTCTGTCAGAACTTGAACGGCTTCACTCAAAGGGTATTTTAGGAGCAAACCTGGTCCAATAATAGGGATGGCTACTGAACTGAAGCCCTTGTCTGCACAGAGGTCCAAGCATGTTTTTAACCCTTTTGCAAGAGCCTGCAAGACAAATACAAAACATTTCCTTGCATCATTAAAAACAAGTCCATCCATCTGACATATTGCCCAAGGATTGTTCCTCTAATTTCAGTTTTGAAGTCTTCCTAAAAGAAGGAGGGATCATGATTTGATGCCTAAATCATTTTAACTCATGTCTTACATAATGGAAAATTGGTGATTATAGTCCAAGCAAAGATCTGGTAACTATCAACCTGTCTTTAAGGAGGAGGCTTGTAGACAGGATGAAAAGCTAATTTTTGCTGCTTGTACCCAGATTCTTGGATTCTTCTAGGCCCCAACAAGTCCATCCATCTCCATTATGTAACCATAACACATGGATTAGACAGAGATGATCCAAGTCTTCTAACACTAGGTGGCTTTATTATGTATTGCTCCTTTAAATTAAATTGCAAATAACCCAACCTTCATTTTCAATCAAGAAATAGATATAACACATTTTGCTTTGTATTAAATGTTAACTTTTCTGTATGTTCATAAAAGCTAAAATACACAATCAGTTTATCTCTACATAATCAATATAAATCTTAATATATTACTTTACCTGCACACTCATTCCTCCAGCTCTGTCCCAAGATAGGCACTCAATGCAGAATATTTTGGAGCACCCCAGAGATGCGCTGGCATCAACCTGCAGAACATCGCCAGGGGCAGGGCCAGATAATGCTACTAATGTGTCAAACTTTGATTTGACTGTGTCTCCACCTTTCTTTAGCAAAGATTTCCCAATATTTGTTGAAGACAGGTTTTTATCATGTGTGGGGACAACCAAAACATTCACCTGTGGAAATATTTAGAGATAGACTCAATAGAAAACTAACAATAGCCTTGATGAAAATTTTGAGGAGAATGAACAGAAAAAGAACAAACCTGCTCATCCTCTAAACTGCAGATCTTGATTTCTAGATTGATATCACTGTACGCATTCAGTTCCACCATGTTGGTGCGACTCCTGGGTCTTGGTGTGATGCTACTGATGTTGCTGAGGCTTCGCTGTATGGTTGTCACTGATGGTGAGCTAACTCCTTGTTTTTCCCTGATAATCACCTGGCATGAACTTTCAACCAGCTCCTTGCTTTCTTTCCCTTCTCCTTGGAAGTATTGCAGAGCTCCAGGACCATCCAGGACTAATGTGTCAAATGTCATGCTAGCCAGAGTGACCATAAGGGCCTGCTTGGTCTCCTGAACCCGAAAACGGGGACCAGACAACAGTACACATGGATTTGGAAAATGGGTGGCTGAGAGTTTCACATCAGTCGGCTTCATGCCAATTATTCCTAAGATTTTATCAAAGCAGTCAACTAGTTCAGGACACTGCAAGCTGAGGACATCTTGAACTGATACCTGATTCGCCTGATAGTCATGGAGAAGCTCTTTAAGCTTGTTCACTTGTTCAGTGTAGCCCACCAGCTGTACTTTAACTGATGGAGTACCACTGTATCCAGGGACAAAGCTAACATCCACCCTATGCTCACCACAGTTTGCTTCATTCTTTGCTTTGATAAGAATTTCTTTGAGTTGGTCTAGATCTGGAGGTTTGGCTGCAGCACCCTGAAGATTCACACTTGATACATTTAAATCTCTCAGCAGTGTTGTCTCAGCTTCATTTAGGGCATCTGAAGACAAACTAGAAAGAAGCAGCTCTGATCCCACCTCAAAGTAAACTGGACTTCTGAGACTTTGTTGAAACTGAGTTTGATACTTGGTGATGGCATTGCTGGTGGCCATAAAGGCAATTAAATCTGCAGGAAGATTCACCTTCTTTTCTTGGATCTTCATTATCAGTTCGTTAAGTTTTGTTGATCCAGACTGTACTTGCTCTTCAGGGCCTTCTAAAAAGACCATGTTAACACTCCAGTTGATTTTTACCTCTGGGTGAAATGTGCTCATCTCTCTGTTGAAATCCTCTTCAATAAGTTTGAACTGCTTCTCCACAACTTGCTGCTCTTTACGTACTGCTACACTTTTATCTAGAACTGCAATTTTCTCCTTCACCACGTCAGCTTCCCCAACCATCACAGCATAACCACTCTCTGAGTAAACTTTTACGTCATCAGTGACAAAGAAGGGATCCTGCAGGACCTTTTTGACCTGTTTGGGCTCAAGCACATGATGGATCCTGTAGCTTTCAATGAGATTAATGAAGATCTTGTCCACTTGGAGTTCCCAGTGTTCTGCTGCACCGTCACAAGGTCCTCCAAGCCCCTTCTCTATATCTCCACTTACTACTGCCTCTTCTTCCTCAAAATCTAGCTGCATTGTGCAGTTAATTGCAGAGAGCTGCTTTTGCAGTATTTTGTAAACTTTAGGATTGTCTCTCAGGTAGAACAAGAGGAAGATGTCTGTTCTAAAAAT